CCAGAGCACCATATGGACCATGTAATATAAATGACGTTATATCTCGATGACCTTCTGGATCAAGATCACAGTTGGGTATTTTCGCCGATATTACAAAATCAATTTCCTTCGCCCACTTAATTTATATTCCGAAGTTAGGAACACTAAGAAAAGGGAGGTCCGAAACTCAATTTTCATGACATCTAAAACAACAAAAGATAATAAGATATACATATGCTTCTGTAAAATAAAAATCACCCTCCATGACATCAATATTTTTTTAACAATAGATAACTTGTATTACCAAAATGAATAGATAGAACTTGTATTATCAAAACTCTCCACATTCACAGGCAACAAAGAAAGGGTCTTCCTGGCCACCTCATGCGCCCTACGATTGTTACTCTTGCCAACAAAAGCAATGTCAAATCTTTGAAAGCACAGCTGGATCCCACCAAGCTCCTCCAATGGAAACGCCCAATTTGGCGATTTGGGTTCAAAATGTGCAGAGCTTCGACCAAAAGAAGCCCGAATCGGTTGTGGAGATCCGTGTTGATTCGACGCAATTGACCACTTGGATTCAATTTCTAGAGTCCTGGGGATGGTGTAGAAGCAAAGAAAGTGACTCGAGGATGCCTGAATCGATTTTCCCCAAATTCGAGTTGACGTCGCCGGATTCTGGGAAATTGAAATTTTCCGATGGCGGGAAAAATAAAACTGGCGAATTCGAAGTGAATAAGTGGAATTCGGTGCCTGGGATCAGATGGAGGAGGGTCTGGAGTGCGAGGCGAACATGATTCACTAAATCAAGTGTTGTGGAATGGGCAGACTCACCACCTCGCCAATTTTGGAAGTTCACCGACGTTCTGTTTTCCAGCCACAGAGACTGACTTTTACGACCTTTTCTGGGCATCATTCGTTGATGTTTTTATTGCAGGAGTGAACAAGCTTTGAGGGCAAAGATTTTTAAATAAGGGGGGCTGATATGATCCTATTTAACCTCTCGTTGAATCTCGAATTGAATTCCAAAGGATCCATCAACGTTGGAAGGAAGAAAGGTCGGATTTGGCTAAGTATACGAACTGTATAATGGTGCTTACATTACATATTCGTATCTTACATTTTGATCGATGGAAATGCACAAGGAAGGTGAAAGTGAAGTTCAAATGTTAATTTACAATGTCGAATGGTTGGATGCACAAATTAGCGATCCTATGTACTTGATCAAGAAGCCTCAAGTTGCTATGGCAAACTGGAAACTATCTGTTTTTTGGCCATGTCTGGAACAGGTGTGAGATCTCATCCTTGGAGGCTTGATAAATGCAACTGGGGCATCGTCGATGGAATGGGAGAGTTGGAACTTAAACAATGGGATCAGGAGAGCAATCGACTGAAGCTAGTTTGAGTCGTTGATCCTTGGAAGGCCATGAACGAGGGCTCCAAAGTAGCTATTGGGCTTGGTTTGGTTACTTGCGCAGGAAAGCAGCAGCTTGGGGCCGAAGTAATTAAAGTTTGTTTCCATTTAGAGCTTGGATTCTGTTTCCTTGTTAAGGCCTTTGTTTGTTCCTATGTATTTAGTTTGTTCCTGTGTATTTAAGGGTTTTCAAGCTCGTGTAAAGAGGGTAAAGTGAATGGAATGAAAAAAGTGACTTGTCACGAATCTTGCGTCGTTGGTGGTATTCCAGCTTTGTGATTGCTTCGTATCGATTGAAACCGTATCAATTGTGGCCGAGCTTCGACCCAAACCAATCGAGCCTCTTCCCAAGTGTGAAGTTGCACCTTTGGCCGTTTTTGTTTTTAAATTTTAGTTCAAAGTTCAAGTCTTCCTTGAGGGGAAATTGAGTTGCGCGCTTTGATATCAAACAAGCACAACTGTGCTCGTATCAAGTTTGTTTTTTAAGTCTAAGTAAAACTATTTATTTCATTTTATAAAGGAAAGTTCAAAAATTAAATTGAATTGAAATTATGTATTTTAATAAAAGAAAGAAGGGAAAGTTTTGGTGTTTTTGAATTATGAAAAGAGAAAGAAGTGGAAAATTTTGGGTTTTCAATTTTTTGGGAATAGAATGAGGAGGAAATTGGGTGCTTAATTTTTTTGAAAAAGAAAGAAGGGGAGAGTTTTGGTGCTTTGGTTTATAGGAAGAGAAAGAAGTGGAATTATTGGTGTCTTTAACTTTTTTGGGGGAAAAAAGGGAAATTTGGTGCTTCAAATTTTGCGAAAAGAAGAAAGGTGAGTTTTGGTGCTTTGGTTTGTTGAATGATCAAGAAGAGAAAATTTTGGTGTTTTCAACATTTTGCAGAAAAAAGAAGAGTGGGTATCCCCCCTTGGCCGTGCGAGCTCTCGGCCAAAAGCGCACGGCCAAAAGCACATATAGCACGGCCGTGCGCTCATCCTGGCCTGGCCGTGCGTATGGCACGGGCATCACATTACCTCGCACGGTCGTGCGGGTACCCCCCCTTGGCCGTGCGAGCTCTCGGTAAGGATGGCACGGCCAAATGTGCCAAGTGCACGGCCGTGCGACATCCTCGGCCAGGCCGTGTCGGCCTGCACGGGCAAAAACCAACCGTGCACGGCCGTGCGCCCCTGCCCGTGCAGCCGAGGCACAGTCTATATAAAGGGCCTGCACGGCCATTCTGGTCAGAAAACCCAAAATACTCGCCGGAATCCTCTGCCCTCGCCGGAAAACCGCGACAAACCCACCTTTTTCGATTTTTTCGGCCGCTTTGGGTCATTTTTTCACCAAACCAACACCAAACCCACTCCTTCTACACCCAAAGCGGCCTATCCCTCGAGTTTGAGCAAGTTTGGGCGACGTTTTTGTCGCCTAAGGCGATTTCCGGCGAGAATCCGGCGAGGCTCCGACGAGCATTTCCGGCCAGTTTTTCGGCGTTTCGTCGATTCCATTGTCTTCCCCTCATCATCCCCTACACCTCTACTTGAGTCTCCAGGTTTGATTTTGCCCCTAACTATGTTAATTTTGGAGAATTGAGTGTGTAGGGTGTATGTTAGAGAACCTTATTGAATCATGTGATTTGTGTGAAATTGATTGAGGGGAATGCATGGGATGTGATTGAATTATGTTGGGCAAAGTCCCCTTTGCTTGTTTGAGCCCTTGTGTGCAAGAATTTGGCCAATTTCATGCTTAACTTAATAGTGCACACAAGGTGTTCGATGAAATGCATGTTTTCCATGCCATGTTGTGGCCACACTACAAAAAAGACAGGCAGAAGTGACGAAATCCTTCTGACGACACTGTTTTATGGTTGGAAATAATCCTATTTGTAACAAAGATCTGTCGTCCTCATAAAAACATAAAATATTTGTGACAAACATAAAAAATCGTCAATAATGTCCAAAACATTTGTCACTAAAAGTCAAATTCGCAAATACGAGGAACGCCAACTCACTTTTACTGAGGACTTTTCAACTTTTGTCACAAATACAAATTATTTATGACCAAATTAAAATAGGCGTCAGAAATAATATGTTTTTCTGATGCCGAAAAAGGAGGGAAAAATTCCTGAATTTTATTTTTGAGGACACTAATTTTTCCTCAGAAAATGTTGTTGGAAATAGTATTATTTGTTATGAATTTTCCCGTTCTCTCAGAAAAAAACCTTTTTATGAGGGAACGTATTTTGTCGTCTATTTTTATGAGGAAACAAATGATTATTTCGTTGAAAAAACTTTGTGAGGAAAATACTTTCTGTGAAGAATTTATATGTCTTCAATAATATGCAAACAATGTCGTCACATATAGACATTATTGACAAATTTCGCTTGTCAGAAAAATTTCTAAGAGTTGAAATTAAAAGTAACCTTAAAGAAAAGGTCATTGATGTACTAGAACCATGGGTCTCTTGCTCACAAAACAAAGTCCAGACCAGTTAGACTGATTACACAACCGGCCCTCGAGATTGAGGGACCCGCCGCATTATGCTTGGAGTCGCCATCGACCTTACATGTGGTGGATCGAACACCTTTTGACCCAGTCTCGACCTTAGGGTCGAAATCGAGATGTGGTTTGCGAAATTTTAGAGATTTGGTTCGGGAGTACGGTTACGTGTGGGGAAGTGTATTCACACCACACAACGCCCAAAGATTGGTACTACTTAAAATCGATAAGTTTTTAAGGGTTAGGTGTATTATAATTTGCACTTGATTTAAGTATTTAATTATATGATACGATTAATTATATGTTTATTATTAAGATTCGATCATACGTCTATTGATGTGAATCTCGAAGGTACATAAAGAGTTTTTGGATTAGTTGGACTCGAAACTATTAGTTGCCTACTTACCTGAGTAGTCAGGATCAAAGTCCACGTTGTTCGATCATTTGGAGTGATACTGAAAGAAGAAACCTAACACGTATTATTGCTTTTTGTTTTTGAGATTGAGAAAATAATTTTGATATGTGGATATGTTAATCGAGTTGCCCGATTGGCTACGCATGTAATCTGGGATGTGTTTGAACTTGGAAGTTGAAGGTCACTAGTTTGAAGATTATCACTGACACTTTTTTACATTTTTGTCTCTCCCTAAGAGCAAGGTTGCAGTGGGTAATTAAGTAAGATAATTAGGAGGGCATTTTGGTCTGTTTGAAAAGCCGGGTATATAAACAAACTTTTAACGAAATGAAAACCCTAATCTCACTTACCTAAGCCAGCGTCCGCCTCTTCTCTTCTTCCCTTCTATCTCGTATCTGCTCTTCTCTTTGGAAACCAATGAAACAGAGAAAGAAAAATCGTACCATCCTTTTAATCTCATCCCTTTTCGTCTGCCTCCCCGATCTCTCACTCAATCTACCATATTCCTCTCTCTTTTCTTTTGGAAATCGATGAGAAGGAACCAAATGGAAGGCATCGATGTAGAGGGTGACGACGACGATCGACACCGGCAGAGGTGACCATGACGGCGCCGAAGGTTGAAGGTTAGTTTTGTCTCCAATTGCATGTCGATTTTAGGGGATTTCCTACGATTTTTGGTTCCATTTAGGGATTCTGATCGGCCTCTTTTGTTGAATGGTTTGAGAGGGCAACCTCAGATTCCGTCGAAGGCGCCGACAAAGCAGAATGGGGTTAGAAACTCATTTGGTATGATCTCTAAGGTTTTATTTGAAATTCTGTTTGAGACTCCAACTTCGATTTTTCCTTTTTTGGTGTAGGTTATTCAGATTCGGAGAAACACAATCGATTTGGTAACGTTCTTCCTCTATTCCCATCAAGCAGTGTACCGGTGGTTCAGATCTATGATTTGGTAGATCGATCAACCTGTGTTTTCTTTTGAATCTCATTCTCGAGGATTTTGATCGGATTCTAGACCCCTTTGATATTTTTTTCTGGGGTTTCAATGGAGGGGAGAAGAGTAGTCCCCGGTGGTGATGGGGAACTGGCGCCACAAGATGCATCTCGTCGATCTCGATGATGACGATGATTCGATCGAGGAGAGGGCCGTGGTTGGCCATTGAAGAAGGAGGAAGAAATCGCAAAGGGCAGCGGCAGTGGGTGGGAGAGGAAGCGACATAGATTTTTTCTTTTATTTCTTAATTAATAATTTTAATTAATAATGTATTCTGATATTTTAATAAATGTATATAGTAAATTGTGCACAATAAATTGTCATTGAATAATATTTTGTTGATGTTTTTAATATATGTTCATTTATTTTTGTTGTTGGGAAATGCATAGACAATAATTACATTTTCACGTATTAAATGTATTTATCTATAATATATAAATTATTATATGTATTTTTCGTCATTTTCTTGGTCATGAATGTTTCTATTTTTTATGTCGTTCTCTAGTGATCCGATGAAATCATTGCGTCGGTAATAATTTCATTTCTGAGGAGTACTCCATTCATGAGGACTTTTACTCGTCAAAAATAACAGAAGGGTATTTTGGGAACAAAAATTTTGCCTAATTATACAACCTTTTCTGACAATAAACAAGTTGTCATAAAACAAATAAGGGTATTTTGGGGATGGAAAATTCAAAGTGTTATTAACAAAAAATATTTTTGCTTACAAAAAAATATTCTCACAAATACTTAAACTGACAAACTAATTTTCTTAGAAATAGTTTTTCCTCTCTCACAAAAACTTTTCGTCAAGTTTTTTTCCTCAAGGGTATTTCTTTTCTGACAACGATAAATTGGGTTTTGAGGATAATTTATCGTCACAAAAAATGTTTTTATGACGCCAAAAAATTTTAGACTATTACCTACGGACCTTTACCCCACGACCCGCTAACGACCGTATTTCGTCAGAATAAAGTTTTAGTGACGAGAAAAGGCTTTTTGTGACGCCAATGGTCTGGTAACATCTGCCAGTCTTTTTTGTAGTGCCACCGGTTGGGGCCCTTAATGATGTAGTTTGAGGGTGTATTTGCTATGGATGTGAACCTTGAGTTGCCTATTTTCTTGTGAATGTGCACCCCCACCCAGATTATGCTTGATTATCGAGTTTTTGACCCCCGAACTATGGATGAAACCATGGTTAGGCTGCTTTCTGTTCTTAAGTGTGGGGGTGGGCTTGACCTTTTCTTTGGCTCTTTTGGTTCCACGTTGGGTTGTTGTTTTGCAGGGCAATGGCGAAACCTAATCTCCAGCACCCGTTCATCCGGGATCTCAGGAGGGGCCCCACCGCAGAGCGCTTCAAGGCAGTCGCGGAAACCCCGTTTGGGTCCCACCATTGCTGGTCCAAACGGGAGTTTCGGCGACTGCACTGCTACGAGCAGCTTTCCGCCGCGGTTGCCAACACCGCATGGCGCCGTCTGCTCCAGATCTGCGAGAAGGTCTACTACGAGCCGGTGTGGGAGTTCTACACAACTTTCAAGCACAATTCCACGACCAGTTGCCAGGACAGTACAGCCGTCCAATTCAGGCTGGGCGGTGTCCCCCGGTCCTTGAGCTACCACGAGCTGGCCGAGGCTCTCCACCTCGACGACAGTGAGGACTACGTCACCGAGGTAAATGAGCCTCCGGAGGTGGACTTCGGGAGGCTGTACACCAGCCTGGCTCGGCCAGGCCAGACGCGTCCCTTCCGGTCCGGGAGGTCGAAGGCATCTACCCTGCAGATCGACAACCGACTTCTCCACCACCTGCTGGCGAAGTCTTACACTCCTGCAGCTGAAAGCGCCGGCGCCATCACGAAGAGGACCCTGTACTTCCTCCATTTGATCCGCCAGCGCAACCATCCTCTCCACCTGGGTTCGGTGGTGGCCAAGACCTTCGAGAATACGGCTACAGAGCTGAAGAGCCTCCACTGCGGCCCCCTCATCACCCGCCTGGTCACCTTCTTTGGCCTTTCACTACAGGGGTGCACCGAGGAGGGGGACACCCTCATCTTTGGCAGCAAGACGATCGGGAAGATGCTGCTGTTGCGAGAGAGGAACGGTGTTCAGTGGGTCGATGGATTCCCGGAGCCTCCGATCCCCGCGGAGCCCGTACCAGAGGCCCAGGCCGAGGGCCAGGAGGAGGAGGCTGCCGATGAGGTGGATCCCGAGGAGGTGGATGCTGCTGCTGATGCTGCTGATGATCCACCACAGACTGACTTCCATTACGGGGGTAGCAGCTCCACTTTCCAGGGCCAGGATTACTTCGCCCAGCAGTTCGAGCAGCTGAGGATCCAGAACCAGCTGATCCTCGACCAACAGATGCAGTTCCATCAGCAGTACGCGGCAGATCAGGCCGAGTACCGGAATAGGATGGATGCTTATGACGTGCGGCTGAACACGATCCAGACTCAGCAGGACGTGACTCTCGCCCACATCGAGCGGGAGAAGCGCCGTTCACGGCGCATGCAGGAGGTTCAGCAGCACCTGCTTCAGCTGATTCCGGGCGATCCACCTGTCTGGAGGACTCCCTGGGATGACTCCCCTCCACATGACGGTGCTGCTAGCGCTGCTGATGATGATGCGTTCATGAGCGACATCGACCTCGACGATCTTGGCGACGAGTAAGCTGTACTCGTTGCCCGTCTCAGTGTGTTTGTTTGTTTTTTTTTTTTTTAGACTTTTGTGTGTTTGCTCCATGTGTGCGGAGCTTGAACTTAGAGTCGTTTGTTTTTGTTTTTGTTTTTGGTTTTTCCTTTGTGGTTTGATGTAGCCGTCTGGGCTAACACTTATCCCTAACGCACGGTGTGCTAGTGTGTTTCTGGTGTTCGATTTGTGCAGCATTTTCCACTCTCCCGTTCGTTTCTCGCTGACTGGTCCCCTTCCAGTCCCCCAGCAGTGTTCTTACCCGGTAACATCGTTCCCCTTATCTTTCCCTCTACTCCATTGAGGGCAATGTTGTGCTTAAGTGTGGGGGGGTGCTTTGTATCGGTTGGAATATTTATGATGGTGCTTGGAGCCTAGTCCGCTGTCCGAATCTTACGATTTGAGGGCTCCAAGTACTGCTGTTTGATCATATTGGCACTGTGTTTTGATGGATGAGTTGATTGGTTTTCGGATTAATGCATGACAACTTGTTTGCGACTAGGACAACCTATGATGAGGACTGAGATGTGCAGTAGAACGATGTAGGGGGTTCAGTTTTTCGACTGTTTGCTTGCCAACTGTGACTTGATCTGACTTGATCTGATTACTTGTTCTTGACAGTCGTTTATGCATCTAGTTCAGGGTATCAGAATGTGAGATAGAGCATATAGGTAGCCATGTGAGATTTGAGCCTGCTCGTTTCTTTCTTGTGCGATAGATCCCTCTTCCATGATGTGTAGCATTCACGTTGTCACTAGCTAAGATGATGGGGGCATAGGATTAGCCCACGCCCAAAACTGACTGTCCTGATGTGTCATATCCCCTAGTCAGCCCCTTTGAGCCGTGTGTTATCCTTTCTTTTGGTCTATAATGAAAAAATCACCCTTGTTGCATCTTTTAGAAGGTTCCACAGAGTGGTTTTTACATATTCTCTGCTGTTTCTGCTTAAGTCTATGTGAGTGTTGGAGGTAGTGCTTAAAAGTTGGGCAGATGTTTGAAATATGTGCAGAAGTGGTGGCTCTCTTAAGGAATGAAAAGAAAAATGTGAGAAAAAAAAAGAAAAATTGAAAGCAAAAGAGAGCTACTACCAAAAATCGGAATAATGCCCATTAAGTAGTGTTTCTTAGCAGCCTGGCTTGGAAATGCTGATGTTTATGCCTCCTTCGCTCTTGTGCTCTTGAGATGTTGAGTAATGCAGAATAGCAGAAAGAAAATACCGGTTTGTTTGACTGTGATTGTGTGTTTGGAAAATGTGGAACCTTTTGCTATGAATACTTCCACCACCTAAAAGGCTTTTTCCCCATGTCCAAGACCCTAGCCAGTCATTTGAACCTGTGTCTAAGACCTCCTGATTAGTTAGTGGTGATACCCCATTTGTGAACTCTAGCATTTAGAGGCTGCCATCATGGTGAAGAGATGATAGGAATTGAGAGAAATAGCATGCGCATCTTTCGCATCAAATTGTCCTGACCCCACTGGTCGAGAGTGAGTGATACATTTTCATTTTCTATATGCTCTTGTACCCCGGTGAGGACCTAGATTGCTCGGTCTCTATTATGATGTCTTGAGTTGGATGCATGAGTTGACTGTTTTGAGTAAGTGGTTGAATCAAGTCTAGGTTGGCCAGTGAACAGAAGGGAGACTCTTCCTTTACTCGATTTGCTGCACTCGAATGTCCTTTGTGGTTGTTGTCCAGGTTGTTATTGAGGTTGTGCATGTATTGATGTTTGAAAACCAGTGCGATTCACGTGTTCTGTGCCTTTATGACTTGTCCCCAATGTTGGTTGATTGAAATATGTAAGCTTACCTAGTGTCTGACTTGGTTTGCTTGGGGACAAGCAAACGGTTAAGTGTGGGGGAGTTTGATAGACCGTCATTTACACATGTTTTTACCACCGTTCTTACACCGTTTGAGGTGTTGATTCTCGTGTTTTAGGCCGATTTCACGCTAGGTTGTGCTTGTTTGTGATATTTCAGGTCCTAGTACGTGAATGAAGGCTTAGGAGCGAGTCTGGGGTCGATTGGACGAAGAACGGACGAATGGCGAGGTTTTTGGGGAGCTGCACGGGCAGACCAGGGAGACGCACGGCCGTGCACGTGAGCAATATGGCCGTGCGCTTTACACCGAGGCCACGCACGGGCAACCCCTGAAGATCGCACGGCCGTGCACCCTGGCCGTGCGAGAAGCCTGAGGTCGAACTAAATGACACGCTGCGTTTTGAGTTGCACGGCCAGAATGGTGATATGCACGGCCGTGCACCCTGGCCGTGCGAGTCGGGAAAGCCTAGTTTTAGAGCCTATTCCGAGCCAAAAGTGAGAGAATCGTGTTTTCAGAGCAAAAACAGAGCCCTAGAGAGAGAAAGTACGAAGAATACACCCTAGAAGCTGTCTTAGAGCTGGATTTCATCGAATCGAGCTTGGAGATCGTCATAGGAGTGGAAATCATCGTCCCGGAGCAGATTATCCTCATCGTTATGAGTATGACTAATCCGATTCTTGTTTTCTCTTCTCTCTCTATGGAGTAGA